ACCTCATTAGCATAACCTCAGGTGTGGTGGAAAGGAGCTTGTTATGATTGATGAAGGGAGCTCCTTTCACTTTTATAAAATGCCTGGGGCTGTTTGGGGAACCAAAAAGACAAAATATTTTACCAAGAGGTGCCCCTGTTACTCTTATCACTTGGGGAATTACCAGCATTTTAAGATCTCTGTGCCCAGAACCATGGAGGAAGACCAAAATATATATTTCATATTCTGTCATGGCCTCACAAGTACCCTCTACTTTATTCTTCTCAGGGACCGAACCTGCTCTTACTAATGTATCACCCTCTAGGGTTTTAGCCTTGTAGGCAAGTGTGCCCCGCCCTGCCTGACAGCTTAAGTGTGCCTGTGTGTGACCTGGGAGGAAACGGAAGACCGCGCTTGTCAGCAGATGCCGTCGTGGGTCTGTGCAGGAAGGACAGTAACCATGGAACCTGAACACACAGAGCAAATAGCATTTCTGTACGGTGCCAAAACGATTTAGCAAAGCGGACGCCATGTCATCTCTGATGCCTGGTTAAAGAAGGCACTAAACCTAGGTGATCCTGTAACAAGCAGATGTAGGGAAGGGGACGAGATGGAGCTACGCGCTCATAGGCGCCCTGGAGTTGACTCTCTCCTGCCTACAGTCGGCTGCTCAGTGTTCAGCCTCTTCCTGCCTTGGTTTTGGGAAAAGATTGACCCAGAATAATTGATGAGCCAAATGCGAGTTTGTTTCACTGCATTTCCATCCATCTGAGAACGAACCCCGCCTCCACCGTAATGACATTGAGACAGATGCACATGTGAGTCCCAGGTCAGATGAGCTCCTCAGATATTTGGGACAGAAGTCAGTGCCCCGTTTTAGACTGGGATATTCTAGGAAGGAAAGCAGCTATTAATAACTTGATTTACCACCATGTTGTTTGACCTATATATTTGCGCAGTAAATACATCCCTGTGAATCTGTGTGAAGTAAATTTCAGTTATTAAACCGTTTTCCCTTCCCCTGCCAGGACTCCTGCCGGACGGGCATTCTCGTGGAAAGCGTGTTGGCATCGAGTTCACAGGGAATAGACGCGTAATCTTCACATTCGTTTCCAGGGGCATTTGCTTTGTGAATGCCCTGCTTATCTGAGTCTCCCCCTTGTGACCCCGCAGGAGGCTGGGACAAGTGGCTGATGTTTGACTCCTGTGGACTCATGCAGGGGCCACACGCGGGGAGAGGCACGAGCCGTCCCCAATGGGCTAGACGCGGAATGTGAGCCATGCGAAGTGTGCAAGGGCTGAGTGTCACTCTGTGTAGGGCTGTCTTAGCGTAGGGATATTTTTAAAAACATGGACAAGTGTCTTCTTTGGAATTAATTCTTTTAAAATCCCTGTTGGGCAGATTCCATGATGAGTCCTCGTTAGAATGTAACCAAGTTTATTTTAAATAAAATCAGATAACTGTAAGTAGTTTCACTAGCTGAACAGATAAAATGCTGCCTGGCCCTACGAGAAATTTTAAAGTTTGTTCTAGAGGCAATTTCTGATTCTTGGAAAAGTTTTCCTTCTGCTCTAAGAGCTATGGAAAATAGGCAAGCTTGAAACCTGCCAGTGCAGTGGTTGGATTTGATTTATGAAAATCATAGCCTACTAAGTGCATGATATCAGATGAACTGGGCTGTGCTTACTGGCGGCATAATTAAATGTATTAAAGTAGAAAGTAGTTTTATAAAGACCCCGCCTCAGAGGGAGTTATGGCATTTTGTGAGCCATGAATTGCATTTATACTTTGGCGTCCAGCTCACCTCTAACATTTACTTTGAATAATGTCAGAATTGCTTTGTGTTCTGGAAAGCGTAGTGGCTTGCCTGCAGGGAGGGTGACCCAGCAGTGACCCGGTTGGCCCAGAGCAGGCGCAGGAGGGAGAGGACAGGACACATGGCGGGCTGCCCTCGTGGATGGGCACGGTCCGGGCTCTCAGAAACGCCAGGGCAAAAATAACTCAAATGAAAACCCACCTGAGGGAATCAAGACTTTTTTTTCCCCCCCTCGGAAGAAATCTGTCAGCGAAAACTGTATTCCATTTGGTTTCTAAAGCAGGAAGAAAGTGATGAAAACCGTGGCCTTTGTATCCTGCCAGGCTTTCTCCGTTTTTAAGCAAGCACAAAGCAAAGCTCTATGAAACGCCATGGGGTTCTCCCTCAGCGGCCTGTCCGTGGCCTCCAGGCCACCGCGGTGCAAACCGAAGATCATTCCTTAATGACAGTGAACTTTCTGTCTCACCCCGAATTGATTAAATGGCCCATTAAGAGTTGCTCATAGGGTGAGTTAGGGTGCCACATGCACTGACTTGCTTTTCAGAGCTTAAGCTAAGCGGCTGTTACATGCCAGATACGTATGAGTATGGGAGATGAGTGGGGTTCATGATGGATGCACCCTAGAACTTTCCTGAAGCCCCAGATCTGCGAACTCCAGTGTAATGTACGCCGTTCCTCGTAAGACGAATACCCTGAGTTCTCAATGAACATCCGACACAGTTAGTCCCTATTTGGCTGGCTGTCCTTGGGCAGCCATCGCCCACAATTTTTACCGTTGCCCAGTGTGGCTTCTTCATAGCCTGCAGGAGCTCGGGGACCGGGGGTGGGTGCACCTGCCCCTCCAGGGTCCTGATTCTCTGTCAACCCCTCTCTCCCACTTACTACCCGCACCCCTGCCCCATCCCCAGGACTCTGAACAAGAGCTCTGCCTGCTGACTGTGGTGTCCTCCCATGTGATACATTAATTATTGATGATATGGTAATTATTAATTATTAAGTCAGCACTTTGGTCCTCTCACTACCTGGCCACGGGATTAATATTTGACTGCTTGTAGTCTGAGCTACGACAGCATCTTAGCCCCACATGCGCCCTAGCAATGCAGGCCCAGCAAGCTGACGTCGCCACGCCTCCCTCCCCTTCCAGCTCGGCTGTCTGTCTGTCCTCAGGACCCTGTGTGTCATCTGTCTAAAGCCTCCCTCGCCCGCATGGCGTCTCGGCTTCTGTGCCCTGTTCAGGCAGCTGTCTGCCTCTTTTCATTGCGTTCCGTTTTCGTGGGCCCTGACAGCTTATGAGAGGAGGGAAGCTGAGACTCTGTGTTGGGAGCAGGAGGCAGGGAAGGCAGCGTGTTCTGGAAAAATCCGTGAGCTCATTCGTTGAGCGCGCACCTGGTGAGGTCAAATTGGTAGCTGCAAAGCTTGTTTTCAAATTCAAGGTCCGCTACTTAGCGCTCGTGTGATCTTAGGCGAGTCGTTTAAGTCCTCTAGGCCTGTCCCTCAGCTGTTAAGCCGGGTTAATGGTCACCACTTTATATTGTTTTGTAAGGAGTGAATGGAATACAGGTAATAAATAACCCTGACCCAGTGTTTCGCGTGTGCCCGCTCGTGACAGAGCAGGCCATAACCAACTCACTCTGCACACGCTTCGTATGGGGTGCCACTGTTATCCCCAAGGCCAAGTGCAAAGAAACAAAAAACCAAAGCCCCTGGGCCTGGGCCCGCGCCAGCCGCTCTCAGCATGTCCTGCCACCTGCCACGTAGGAGCTGTCCCCTTGGGTAGGGTGCGGGCCTCACTGTCCTGGGCCCTAAGCCCCTTGCTTGTTAAACGGGTGTCACGTGGGGCCGTGAGGGGACAGATGAGACTGTGAGTACGTGACCTGCAGTGTGCTGCCTTGGAGCCAGCCTCAGCTGTTATTTGCCATGTTGTTAAAATGTGACAAATGTGGAAGTCGCAGAAAAAAGGAGTCAGTATTGTTAGAACGTATTGGGTTACGAAGAAGAGAAACCCAAACTAGCTCAGGCACAATTATTATAGGACGCAGGAATGTTTAACACAGCTCCCAGCAGGAAGGCAGCCAGGCCTAAGAAAGGACAGAAGCTGAGCCACGCACAGCTGCCGGGAGCCCAGCGCACGTCTCCAGCTTCCAGCTTTGTCCCTTCCCACATCTCTGAGTGTGCTGGGTTACACCCTCAACATGTATTAGCCTGGTTTTCTAGAGAGACAGAACCAATCGGGTGTGCATTACACACACACATCCCCTCCCCAACACACACAGGTGTATCCATATGGCACGTATGGGGGGAGGGGTATTTCTGGAACTGGCTCACATGGTTGGGGAGCCGTGGGTCCAGGGTCGGCCCTGGGTGGGTCCAGGCCGGAGACCCAGGGAAGAGTTGGAAGGCAGAATTCCCTCTCCTCGGGGGACAGCCATCTTTTCTCTTATGGCCTTCAACTGATTGAATGAGGCCCCCCACATTGTGGAGGGTAATCTGCTTCACTCGAAGTCTGCTGATTTAAATATTAATCGCATCTAAAAATACCTTCACAGCATTCTCTAGAGCCATGTTTGACAAAATACCTGGGTATGTGACACACAAAGTTACCCCTTTCTTTCTGGCATTCTCTGTCATCCTCTCTGGCATTCTCTGTGCCATCGGGCTCTCTGGCCAGTCAAGGGCAGAGGAGGGGCACCTGGAGGTCCCCAGGTGAATACCTGTTTCATCAGCAGCCCACGGCGAGCCTGTGTGCCCCAGCTTTGGTGGCTCGAGTGGGCCAGGGCTGGCATCGTTGTCCAGTGCTGTTCTGTTTCCATCTCTCTTCTAGAATTTCAGGGAAAGGTGAGCCCTGATTGGCCTAATGAGGGCTCCGTGCCCACCTGTGACCGGCCAGCTGAGGCCGGGGCAGGGGTGTCATGCTCTGTGCCCACGGCTGGGTGGGACAGATGCTCTGAAAAGTGTCTCCTGCCCAGGCTCATAGACGTCATTTGCACTGTAATTATTGGATTGCCTCTCTAATATCAATAAATATGAATCAGTACAAAACATATTGTATAACTAAAAAAATTATGCCTATCTCAGTTGTTCTTCCCTCCTGCAGATGTCGTTGAATGTCGTGAGCTTCCGTGTCTGGTTGCCGAGGTGCACATTTGTCCGTGGCCCCCTCACCACTGCTAACGTTACTTTTTTGCTTTTCCTTTTACTGCCCAGAGGATGATGTAGACCTGGAGACTCTGATGGATGACATGAACACATCCCTGGAGAGCCTGTACCCATCTTGTAGCATGCAGTCGGACACCGTGCCCCTGTGTCAGAATGGCCAGCACACCCGCAGCCAGCCGCCACCCTCGGGGACCAAGTCCCTCCAGCCACAGTTGTCCCCATGGCAGAAGGTGCAGCGCTCGCAGCCCGTGCACATCCTGGCCGTCAGGTGGGACCAGGGGCCACGCGGGCGAGCAGTGCTGTTGTGCAGACATGCTGGGGCTGCCTGTTGGGTAGATGGCAGGCGGTGGGGGGGACGTGTTGGTCGTGTGAGAGCCACAGGCCAACACATTTCATTCCTCTGTTTTGCGTGACAGCGCTGGGTTGGACTTGGCACCCAGTTCAGGTTAGATAACGTTTATTGAGCACCTGCTCTGGGCCGGGCACCGTGCCCGATGGAGGGATATGCAGGAAAACCATCAGAGAAGAATGCTCTGGAAAGAATGAAATAGCTGGGCAGATTCTTGAGGACTTCAAGGCCTCACTGCCCAGAGTGGAGTCGGGGGGCCAGGAGCAGAGGTGTCCCCTGGTGCTTGTCAGAAATGTGCCACCTCAGACATTTGATCGCACTCCCCAGCAGAGTAAGCGGAGGGGGCACGGCCTCTGTGGGGACACCAGGCTGGCAGGAAGGACTCTGAGAAGTAGAGGAGGGCCCCTGGCATGTGGCAGGCCCCTGAACTGGGTGTCGTCGGGGGCGTAGGGGCTGAGGGGTGAGGGAGAGATTTCATGAGCAGGAGAGATGGTCCCTACTGTCACAAAGGGCAGGGCTGCCTTCCTTTGTACAGGTGAGTGATACCCCATTGTGTGTACTTGTCACGTTTTCTGTATCCGGTCATCTGTAGATAGACAACATGGACAGTATGCCACGTAAATAAGCCTGCCATGAAGGGCAAACACTACATGATTGCACTTTTAGGAGGAATCTAAAACAGGGAAACTTCTGGGAGCAGAGCAGAATAGCGGTTGCCAGGGGCTGGTGTGTGTGTGTGTGTGTGTGTGTGTGTGTGTGTGTGTGTATGTGTATGTTGGGAGCGGGGATGGGAGGGATTAGCCGAAGTGTACAAAGTGCTTCCTCACTCTGCCCTCCCCGCAGCCCCTGGCAGCCGGGTATGCCCACCCTGGGTATTTCACAGAGATGGAATCATGTCAGATGTGGCCTGTGTGCCTGGCCTCTCTCATGGAGCATAAGTTTTTTTCATAAAGATCTTATTTTTAAGAGCAGTTTTAGGTTCATAGCAAAATTCAAAAGAAGATACAGAGATTTCCCACCTCACCGCACACTGCACATGGGGCCTCCCCTGTTATCACCCCCCCACCCCCCACCCCCCCGCCAACAATGGTGCATTTCTTACAATTGAACCTACACGAATATGCCGTTGTCGCTCCAAGTCCGTAGAATACGTCAGGGTTCACTCTTGGTGTTGGACACTCGAAGTGTTCGGACAAACACCTGACAGCACGAATCCTTTGTTACAATAGCATACAGAGTATTTTCACTGCCTTAAAAGACACAGGACTTTTTTTAATGCTCAACACAACCTATGAAAGAGAGAAGGTTTTGTGAGCAACCGGGATGTGAGAGTGTCAGCATCTTCGCTCTGGTCCTGCACAGGGGACACACGTGTCAGATGGACGCTCTGCCCAGCCGAGGCTGTTAGGGGAAGAGTGCGATTTGTTCGCAGTGAAAACACACTTCCTGGCACGTCGTCAAGGCTCACAGAAAGGCCCCCTGTGTCCTCCGCCTGAGCCCCTTTGTACTATGGAGTACTCGTATTGAGGATCAGGCGTCACTTCCCTGTCCACGTGCGGTGGCTGGACAGGCCTCCTTTAGAATCAGGACAGCTTGTCACATGGTCGCAATGTCCACTTCTCTAGTGGCAGGCCTCCCCGGGGAGCGAATGGATCAGTCAGTCAGTCAAATTGCAAAATGAGTCACAAAATTATTGGAAGCCACAGCCTGCACAGGGGCTTATGGGGTGTGTGTGAACAAGGACAGGGACCAAAATGCAGCCCGGGGGTCTGTATGCTGGACAGTGAAACCCTCGGTGGACAGAGAGGGGCTCCACTCCCAGGACACCCCTGGGCGCCAGGCGGGCAGGAAGCTGCCAGCAGAGCCCCCAGGGAGACGAAACACAGGGCACTTTGCATTGGGTTTGTTTTGACTTTGAACTTTATTTTTCTGCTGTTTTCATAATTGCATCTGATGGGTCATTTGTGTACGTTTTGCTCAGCTCTATGGCTGGTGAGGTTTGCATTCCTCTAGGGAAATGCCACAGAGAGGACAGTGTGTAGATTCAGAAATGGTTCTCAGCGGTGTACGTGGGGGATGGCAGGGCATTTCTGGGGTGACACAGACACAGGCTTTTGTGCTCTGGGGTGGACAGCTACACGGAGCATTTATTTCCAATTAATTCAGTATCAACAACCTTTTTGTGTAGGTAAGCATTCATTCCACAATTTAGGCGAGGACCCAGGAAGCCCCTTTTAGTACTTTCATCTGGTTCAAGAAGTACTCATTTCAAGGTCACTGAAAACTAGTTGTTCTCATGAAAATGCTCTTACTCATAGATGTCTTTGCACATCAGGTATGCAGGGATCAAACGCGCTGGGCCCATGTGCAACGTGAGGGCACACACAGTATATCTCTTACCTGAGTGGGCCGGTCGGTACCCTTTCAGTCGGAGAGGGCAGTTTTCGTTTTTGTTTTTGTTTTAATGTTTAATTGTGGTGAAGTACACATAACATGAAGTTTGCCATCTCCACCATTTTTAAGGCTCCAGTTCTGTAGTGTTCTGTACACGCACACTGATGTGCAGCCTCCAGAACCTGCTCACCTCGCAAACTTCACACTCTGTCCTCGCTGAACGCTCGCTTCCCGTACCCTGGCCCCTGACATCTCCATTCCACGTTCTGTCTCTATGAATTTGATCGCTGTGGGGGCCTCGTCCAAGTGGGCGCATACAGGATCTGGCTTCTTGTGACAGGCGCATTTCACTTCACACAGTGCCCTCAGGGTTCATCCATGTCGTAGCGCGTGTCAGAACCGTGTTGCTTTTCAAGGCGGAACGATACCTCCTTTGTGCGGTTAGACCACATTTTGTGATCTGTTCACGCGTCGATGGACGCTTGTGTGGCTTCCACCTTTTGACCGTTGCGAATCCTCCTGCTGTGCTCACTGGGTACTTGCCCACGTGAGCCCGCTTGCTTTTGGGTGCATCCCCAGGAGTAAGCTTGCTGGGTCGGGTCTGGGGTGGCAGCTTTTAACCAGCGGTTGTCTCTTTCGTCCCAGGCGCCTGCAGGAGGAAGACCAACAGTTTAGAACCTCTTCTCTGCCGGCCATCCCCAACCCCTTCCCGGAGCTCTGCGGCCCAAAGAGCCCCCCTGCCGTCCCGCCGGGCTCCTTACCTCCCAGCCAGGATGTTGCGAAGCAGGTGAGCGTGCCCTGGCTCAACTGCCAGGCTGTTTGGCTGTGGGGTCAGGATGGACATGCCAGCGCATTACTTTGGGGAAAAGGGAGGGAAACTGGATTTTTTTTCTCTTAGTTCTTTTCCTTTTGCAGCTACACCTGTGGCCTTGTGAGGCTTTTTAATTCACTGGCCAAAATTTTATTTGTTACGTCAGGGATGTATCTAATCAGTATATGTTTTAGGAGTCTCAAACACGGTAGAAAATCATAACAATAGTTTGGTGCTTAAAGGTGAGTTTTAGTTTTCTGAATAATTTTCACCATCACGTCCATCATCTTCCTCACCCAGTAATTCTGGATAAAAGAGGGTTAAACGCTGGGCTTGCTCGGGCACCTGCCCTTCGTACAATAGAGTGTCCACATGACAGTCCTGACTTGGAATGCTGTCTGCTCAAGGTGGGAGAATTTTCACTGGACCTAGAAGGTGACAGCCACCTTTTTAAACCAGTAGTTTCTACATTAAAGAAGGACAGTGAGGTGCTTGTTATATCGCCATTGTCCCCATGGGAGGGAACAGGCCCAGAGAGCTTCAGGTATAGGCCCGAAGTCAAATCGCGCGTAACCAGCTTGTCAGAGGTGGGCTAGCCGCCGTCCCTCCTGGTCAGCTGGTGCAGGGCCAGGGCGGGTCGCAGGCGCAGAGGGAGACCCGGTGAAGTTCTAGTGTGTGTGTGATGGGGGTGGTGGAAGCACAGTAACAGCAGCCGTGGTGACAGCAGCAGCTAGCATTCACTGAGGCATCTCTGTGGGCCAGGCACTGTTCTAAGTGGTTTGTTTGTTTGTTTGTTTGTTTAATTTAATTATATGTTCACTTATCCTCAAAACAACACTAAGAGTTAGTTACAAATGTTATCTCTACTCTGTAGCTATAAGTTGGTGGAACTGGGATAGAATGCAGTGTAACTATTGGGGCTGAGTGTGACCCGGTGTGAGCGACAGACCTGGGGTATGACCCGGTGTGAGTATTAGATTTGGAGTATGACCCGACATCAGCTTCCAGAGCCTCTGATTTTAACGACTAAACTAAGTGTTTCCTGGGTCCTTGACATTCACTCTTCTTAGGAGTATTTCAGTGTGCTTTGCCTTTTCTGCTGGAATCAGTCTCTTCTACTCTCTGCACGTCCCACCTTTGCTGTCCCAAAGGGTGACATGCTGCTGATCCCATTTCTCTGCAAACTCTCCCGTTCGGAGCCTCGCAGGGGCCGCACTCTTAGGCACGCATTCCTGCTGTGCTTGCCAGCTGCTGAGCACCACCCCCTCCCCACTGCAGGCCTCCGGAGCAGGCCATGTCCTCCCACCATCGACACTTAGCAAGTGAGGTAAGTGCCCCCGCCTGGAGCCAGGGCCCGCGGGGCTGCGGCACTTTGTCACATGCCTGAAGTACATCTGGGATGTCTGCCTCTCTGGTGACCTTCTTCTCGAAATAAGGGCCCAGACAAGCTGTCTGTGGATTGGTCACTGAAGTTGTTTACAAAGTTACTCATCCTAAAATAAGACCGTGAAAATATTATCTGGCTCTCGCAGCAGTTGGCAAGAAAACGGGCCTCCACCCCCATGGACTGTCCAACGCTGTGAGCAGAATCAGGAAACCCAGGAATTTTGCCTGCTGTTTTTCTTGGGATCGGCGTTAGTTCCCCATGAGAACATTGTGTTGGTGTCTGCGTTCCTGTCGCCCAAATTCCTCCAGCCTGTGGGACCCACAGGCGCAGGCATAGCCTCTCCCCACTCCCGGATGGATGAGGAGAAGGCTTCATGTGACCAGAAAATACTGGACTGCTGGTCACATGCAGGCCCTAACAGATTCCATTGGGAAGAGCCTGGTCTTTTACAAAAAATTTTTTTGGTAGCGTCTGTTTCATGGTGGTCATTGCACATTTAATCCGCACAACACTTCTACAAACTGCAAGGAAGAGAGTGTTTTCTAGGGGAAAGCAGAGGCCAGTGAGATGAACTACTTGGCCCAGAGGCGGAGACAGGAAGTGAACTTGGCCTGTGCGTGCTCCCTGCCTGCCCAGCCCCCCAGTGGGAGACTCCGTGTCTGCTGGGCCTCCTGTTGGGGGCTGGAGCGCCTCTCCAGCACTGGCTCGCTGCTGAAAAGGAAGCTGTGGTTTACGACGTGGTAGGAGCAAAGCGCGCATTTCTGAGTGGCCCTTCATTCCACGGAGGCAGGAGGGGCTGGGAAGCTCCTGCCATGTAAGGAGGAGCCTCTTCCTGGCTCCCATGTTGTCAGTTGCTGCCACGGAGAGAAAGTCCTCAAGGAGAGAGAGGCCCGGGGGCCCAGGGGGGGGGGGGGTGCCTCAACGCCCAGTGTGCAGCCTGGGGCTGGCTGTGCCTGGGAGGGCAGGGGACTCCGTCCCAGACAGAGAAGGGTGGCACTGTGGTCACCTAAAAGGCCACCAGTGATGGGGAAGTGACAGGGGGTGGGCCAGACTCTACAGCTCGGCCCCCCTGCCCCCAGCTGCTGGGATTTGGGGTTCCTTCCAGGGCAAGTCAAGGACTTTGTACATTACGTGCTCTCAGGCTGCATTTGGCTGCGAGAAACTAAGGCCGGGCTGGCTTCAAATGTGGAAGAAATGTGCTTTTGTGTAACGAACGGGAAGACAAGAGGCAGGAGACCGAGGCCACGGGCAGCCTCATCTGTGTCAGGGAGTCTGCGCCCTGTGCCAGGTCCCACGTGGGATGCTCACCCGAAGGGCCTGGGGACGCTGGTCAGCAAGCCAGGGCCCCGGAAACGTCCTGTGGGGGAGAGAGAAACTGAGGCAGTGTGCTGTGCTGACCAGGAGGACACCATGCGTCCCGTTTGGAGGAAGCAGATGCCGTGAAAGCAGGACACAAGTGCAGATTCAGAGAGAGGGAGAGGGCAGAGGGGCGCGTGAAGCAGAGGGCTGTTGAAAGCAGTGCCACGATATTAAAGGAAACGTCTTTGTTCTGGACTTAAGGCGAGTTTTAAAGGCTCACGGGCGCTGAGGGACGGCCTGGTCAGCGGGTCTGTCTTGCAGCCAGTAGTGATTTTCACGTAGGCACATATTGCCTGTTACAGCAAAGATTTTTCCATTTGTTCCGCAAACACAATTAGTCACGTGTTTTAACCCCATTATTAATAGGGCATAAATACCATCTTGGTTCCACTCTGCTCTTCTCCCTTCTCTTAATTTTAAAAATTAATTTTCTGGAGGTAAATTAATTGCCTTGTGTAGTGTTTTGCACACACATTTACTAATGAGCACAATTGGGTCTCCTGAGGCTTCGACTATGATTCGCTGAGAGCGCCGCGACCTCGGACCGTCTTTGGTGAGGAAAACGACCCTCGGTCGCCAAGCGCAGGCTCTGTCCTGGCACGCGCCGGTGTGGACATGACGCTGCCCACTGCCTACTTCACCATCCGGGGTCGGGCCTCCAGGGGCCGGTCCTGGAGCCACAGCGACTTCCCGTTGTCAGACTCCACCCTAACCCCCACCCCACAAGCCCTCTGTCTCAACCCCTCCAAGCTGTGCCCACAGGGCCTTTCGTGGTGCCTTCAGCGATCAGAACACACTAGAACCTGGGCCTCATTGCAGCTTCACCCAGTGCTGGGGGACCCCAAAGGGGCACGGAGTGGGGTGAACTGTGGCTGCCCCGCCCGTGTTTCTGACACTCAGGGGAGTGGTAGCATCGTGTCAGGACAGGAGCCCGAGAGAGCCATGCTGGGCTCCTAGCTGGACAGAGGAAGCTGCTGCCCGCTGACGGTCACTTAAGGCCCTAAGAGCACAAAGGTCCACCCTAGATACCCAGCAGCCCATTCTTGTCACTTTGGGAGGTGAGCTGTCTTTCCTCAGCCACCCCCTCGCTGGCAGCCCTTTCTCTCCTTCCTTTCACTGCCTGTGTCCTCATGAGTGACGGGGTGGACAGCTGCCACTTCCTCACCGCCGCCAGGGCCCCACCAGTGGAGGGAACGGGAGTCCAGCTGCCATGGGGATGACTCAGACCATTTGCGCCGTGGCCCCTCCTAGGGGCCCTCTGCCCCCTCATCACTCTTGGTGAGCCAGATCTCTCCGTGCTCTGTGCCTCCCTCCATACTGCAAGGATACTCAGAGGCTGCTGTCCCTGAACACGTGTCCCGCTGGCCATGCCGTGCTGGGACCGGCCTCTGCGGCTCCGGGGAGGACTCTGTCCTGTCCTCTGCCGCCCAAGCTGCCCCAGCACCCTCCCCACTCGAGGCCGGCTCCTCTGCTGGGCTCCTCCCCTCCTGGAATGTGGAGGGGGAGGACATAATTTCTGCCTCTTTCCTTTGGCCAGCACAGCTAATCAGTCACGTGACTTCCCTGGACAGTTTTCTAGAGAACTATAAACTGTTTTCATTGTTTTTTAAAATTACAGTATACAAATGGAATGCTTAGTTACCATTTCTCTGAGGAAGTTAGTTTAACAAAGGTTTTTGGTTTTCCTTGGCCACCTCTCTGGGGTCCCTGCGTATTGTCTCCTGCTGCTGAGAGGCCCCTGGTATCGGGGACCCCAGTGGCTGCACCCAGGACGCCAGCTCCAGCCGTTAGGAATGATAGCTCTTAAAGCCTTTCCCCTTCGCCTGTCAGAGGGCTGGTCACCAAGGAGGTTCTCATGGACCATCTGTGACAGGTCACATCCGAAGACCTGGCACGAAGCCTCAAACCCACTGTCTTTCCGACATTTCATAGCAACGCTCTGAACCAACAAACATGGCTCAAGAAACCTAAACGAATGTTCACGTAACATTTTATTCCTCACAAAGGGACGTGCGAACTCAGCTGAGCCAGGCAGAACCCGGAACAACACGGTGCCCATCGCTGCCACCAGAGCGTCCTGTGACCTGGGACAGTCGGTAGAGGTGTGTTGGGCAGGCGCTGAGAGAGCCCTCGGGGGTCATGATGTCGGAGGGGACAGACGTGTTCACACATTATTGTGCAGCGGGAATCTGCAGAAACTGAGCAGAGCGTCCCCGAGCAGCCAGAGTCG